CCCTAATCATTGGGGGTCAATGCAGATTTAAGAACCCCCCTTTCTGACACCCACCCACCGTCACCCTTCAGTCTGCCGATCCTCACTTCCGCTGTGTTTACAAACATTCGGCCCATTCACAATGAAGAAAGAAGGGCTTCATCCTTTGTGAATGGGCTGAATGTTTGTGTCCACCCTTGTAATGACCCTGATTGGTTCACAGCGATCACAAGACTCAGCGATGTTCTGAGTGGCTCTGTGCAGCATGAGTTGTCCAATGATGGCTCAGGCCACAGCTGTTCACAGGCCCACTGGCCAGCTGAGTGTGTTTCCTAAAACTGACACCAAACTCAGGAGTTGAATCTTAAAAATACATCCACGTACCTTAAAGGAGAACTGAGGTGAGTGAAAATCACTCATCCTCATAGTTCGAGCCGACGTGTGACAATGAAACTCACACGGCTCAATAGATCGGGAAGTGAGCGAGCGCATACTATCGCTCGCTCACTTCTCGATCATCTCCCTGCAGTGAGCGGTGACTGCCAGCTCCCTGCAGGGATCCCCCTCTCCGATCATCCAGAGTGGAGGAACGGATGGGGGAGGGGGCGGGTACAGCTGGCTCTGACTCTGACAGCTGGCTCTGTCTATCTAATCACGCAGCTGGGTGGATCTCGACACCATTGTCGGGATCCGTCCCGGCTGCAGCAGTCTCAGTATATCGCAAAGTGTTGCTCGTGATATACTGAGCTTTGGGTCACGGGAGGAGGTTAGTATATGTCCTCCTGTGACCCTTAAGAGAACTATGGGAGAAAAACACCTCATAGTTCTCTTTTAACTATTCACAAAAATCTATGTTATTTGTGTATCACTGGGCTGTAGATCCTCAAAATCATCTCTGAATTGGTGCTGACACTGTCCTTCCTTCTGGAGGGGGGCTACATTTGTTCCCCATGGTCAATGTGTATGTTGTAAAGTAGTCACCGCTCCAAGGTCACTCCCGGGATGGACTACAATCTCATGTTTAGTTTACTAATTTGTATTGAGATTGTAGTCCATGCGGATTGGGGGTGGGGGGTGGAGTGTCAATCGCCAAAGAATATGTTGGAGGCGGTAGCTCTGGAATGACGGAATGAAGTGAAGGTTGGAGATGTGGGCCACCTGAGAAATGCAATTTATAACCTCCTTTATTACAAGGAACCTCTATTTTGACTTTTTAGGCAGTTATAATGGTTGCTTTAATGCTGATCCCATTGACATTGAGCCTAAAGCTGAACTCCGGCCTCCCCTTCAGTCTTGCACAGTTGTACCGGCTCCTCTCCTGGACTGAAATGGCTTCCTCTGATTTCACTGCACACTGCAAGCTTCTCACAAATGTGCATTAGAAGCTGCAGCTAGTCAGATAGAGCCCGCCAACATCCACCATCAGCTAGCACTTTCCTCCCTAGCCTGCCTGTTCCTGTCCTGCCCCTTTACATTCATTGGATTAATATAAGCAGATCAGCCAAAACACTGAACCTAAGCCCACAGCAGCATGTTCCCCAATCCGGTATTAGAAGCTTCTGCACACAAAGCCGTTCATTCTGCTGCTGAAAACATAGTACGCCTGGTACGCAGCATGTAACATAGATCTTCTCATCCTGAACCTGCTGACTGTGATCAGTATTGTGCAATACCTCAGTACCAAGAGGGAGCCGGCTGTGAATGTGCAGCTTCCTTCACCATGGCATGCACAGAAGAGGGATTTGTGTGCTAAAGTCTGCATTCACGGTCCTGCGTGTGCACATGTAAGTGTTTTTGCTAATGTTTACATGTGCACAGCACAAATGCACTCTATTGGACCCGCCTGTTTTCCCACAACAAAAGACCCCAGGTGTTAGGGGCCACTTATCTTCCTTTGTTACTAGGGAGCAAGCGGCTCGAACCACCCAATGTCTTTCATTAATACTGTGCAGTCACCTTCCCCTATTCATGTACCAGACCCTCCATCACAATTGTCTTTTGACCCAGTCACCGCACAGAGGAGGTTACAAAGCTTCTCTCTGACACCCACCTCACCACTTGCCCCCTGGACCCTGTTCCCTCACCACTACTTCGGTCACCCTCTTGCTCTATCCTACACTCTCTTACTCACATTTTCAATCTCACTCACTTGTTATATCTCGTCTTGACTATTGCAACTCCCTCCTCATTGGCCTTCCACTACGCAGGCTCCTCCCTCGCTCAATCTATCATGAATGCAGCGGCCAGACTCATTCACCTAACCAACCGCTCAGTGTCTGCATCCCCCCTCTGCCAATCCCTGCACTGGCTTTAACAATCGCTTACAAAGCCATCCCCAACTCCGCCCCCAGCTATATCTCAAACCTGATCTTAAAGTATTACCCTAACCGTCGGCTCCGCTCATCCCAAGACCTCCTGCTTTCCAGCTCCCTTGTCAACTCCTCCCATGCTCGCCTCCAGGACTTCTCTAGAGTCTCTCCCATCCTCTGGAACTCTTTACCCCAACCTGCCCGTCTGTCGCTCACCTTGACTGCCTTTAGGCATTCCCTAAAGACTCATCTCTTCAGGGAAGCCTATCCCACCTCAACCTAACCACTGAACCATCATGTTCTCAAACAATTCATCCCCACACAGCTACCTCCTCATGTATCACTTGCCCTTCCATTTTAGATTGTAAGCCCCCAGGGGCAGGGTCCTCCTTACCATCTTGTCTTGAATTGTATTGTAATTTCTAAAGGTGGCCATACACTTTACAACCATCGCAAAATGTTAGTCTTGCGATGGTTGTAAAGTAATTAAAAAAACGTACGATCGAGCATCCATTCCCCTGCTGTGGAAACAACCCCATCCCCCGTCGATCACGATATGGGTGTCCAAGGTTCGGGAGGTGTATGCCATGGAAGATCTGACGGCCACCCTTAGGAACACAGAGAAACAGTTTTTGTCCACCTGGGGGGCCTGGATCTATTTCCAGCACTCAGACCGCTATACAGCTCTCCTGTCTAGAGATGCACAAGCAATTACTCCCCTGGCTCCTTCCGTCTCCCAGTAGTCATGTAGAGGTGAAGTATCCGTTACCTTTTCGGCTCCCAGTGGCAGTCCTGGGGGGTCTCCAGCTGGGGAGCAGTCCGGAGGCATTTCTCCTTCCCCTGCTTTCATCTCCAACCTCAAACCTGTTCCCGTATGGGATTCCCGCTCTTCGATACCTCAGCCTTCCTTGATTTTTCTTTCCTCCTCTGGTATTTCTTCTATCAGGATGATAGCACAGACGCAAACGATTGATCCGGCATTATAGCTGGACACAAGATTTTGTGGTCACTTTATACACCTGACACGGCCAAGGGACACTCTCCACGATACAATCTAGCTATTGTTAACGCAATCACCTGTCCTATGGGGTGTCGGGGCCTGACGGTACTGACTCGGCAGTGTAGTCATGGCGCTGGGAATTTACCGTGCATGTGTACAATGTACTGATATGTTATGTTTCCCTATGCTTCCTTTGAAAATGCTTGTATCATATATTTGTTCAGTCAATAAACGAATTTAAAAAAACAAAAAACGTACGATCTGCCCATCTTGGACAGGCAGATCGTACTCCCGATGACCGCAATGCTGAACGGGCAGTGCGCGCGTGCGCACACCGGCCCATTTTGTATTTGTCTGCCGAGCACCGTTAAAACCAGCCGATTATCGTACGATTTTCGGCTGGTTTTCTAGCATGCTCCTTAGACAAAAGACGTGCGACCGTACAGTAGAAACGGTTGCACGTCTTCAGTCATACTGCGCGATTCTCGTACGATCGTGGGATTTCCTGCGATTCTTGTACGAGAATCGAGCAGTGTATGGGCACCTCAAGCCTTCACGGGCAGGGCCCTCCTTACCATCTTGTCTTGAATTGCATTGTGATTGTAATGTCTGCCCTATATTGTAAAGCACTGTGCAAACTGTTGGCGCTATATAAATCCTGTATAATAATAATAATAATGATACGATGCAGGCGGCTCAAGCTATCTAACGTCTCTTGTTGCTATGATGCAGGCGGCTCAAGCTACTTATTGTTCTTTGTTGCTCGGATACAGGCAACTCAATCTACCTACCGTTATTGTTAGGATGCAGGCGTCTTAAGCTGCCTACCGTCCTCTGTTGTTAGTATGCAAACTGCTGAAGTCGCCTACCGTCCTCTGCAGTTAGGATGCAGGTGGCTTGAGCTGCCTATAATTCATTGTTGCTAGGATGCAGGCGGCACAAACTGCCCAATGTCTTTTGTTGCTAGTATGCAGGTAGCTTGAGCTACCTACCATCCTTCATTGCTAGGATACAGGCAGCTCGAGCCACCTACTGTCCTATGTTGCTAGGATGCAGGTGACTTAGGCTGCCTAGTGTCCTCTGTTGCTAGGAGGCAGACTGCTTAAGTCCCCTACCATCTTCTGTTGCTATGCTCCTTGCTGCCTAGTGTCCATCATCGCTAGGATGCAGGTAGCTCAAGCCGCCTACCATCCTTTGTTGCTAGGATACAGGCAGCTCGAGTCACTTACTGTCCTTTGTTGCTAGGATAACAAGCAGCTGGAGTCACCTACTGTCCTTTGTTGCTAGGAAACAGGCCGCTCAACCCACCTACTATCCTTTGTTGCTAGGATGCCAGCTCTGATCTTAGCAACCGACAGGGCACCTTTTGTGCTACAAACTGTATGCATGTTATATAGCACTTGTTACATAGGATCTTGCTGCCAGCTTCCACCATCTATATCCTGTTTACTAGTAGCCATATTTTCATACGGCCGTGTATGTGAGCCCTTACACCATTTGGTCACATATTTTTTTTACACAGAATTTCACATTTAGAGCTTCATAAATGTAGTGCCGAGTCTGAATGTTTATTTATAGGTCCCTCTGTGACAGAACTGCTCCCTCAGTTTGGGTACAGAACTCTCAAACATGCATAGACCCGAGTCAACCACAAGATGGCGCTGCGCCTCCTGCCATTGGTATATGTGAGCGGATTATCGTTCCTGGGCTCTATGGTATGTGTTGACACACTAGCCAGTACGGGCGTCTCTATGGTATCGGTCCTCCCCAGGGCTACACGTGGGTATGGCTACGCTGCGCTTCCATGAGTTGGGTCTGGATGACCGGCTGCTGAAGGTGAGAGCTCGGTGTTACTTCATGTCAGCCTCTTGTTCGTGTGTGGAGGGTATAAATGATAGTAAGGGATATCAATGTGATTTTTAAACCGGATGTCTTGTGCCCAGCTGATGTATGTAGACAGTCCAGCATGGCCTACAGCCCAGACTGGTACACAGCATGTAACATTCTTGAGGATAGACCTAGAGCCAATACTTTTTTTTAGATTTTGAATAGAGTAAGGAAGGGTTATAACCATTGCCAGCCTGTTAATGGTCACCTGTGTCCCATTGGGGAGACTTTCCTACACTACCTGTCTGATAGCCACAACAGGAAGTGGGGAAATCCCTGGCGGTCCAAAGGGCCACCAGAACCAGCCCTGTTGGGAGATTTCCAATCTATTATGGAACATGTTTTGCCTGTCAGGTAGTTTAGCCCTTTCACTGGCAGGACCTATAGACCAAAAAGGTGGTGGTGCTGATTTTATTTGCAGCTGCATTGCGGTCCAGGTTTTTCATGAATGGCAGCAGTCAGCTGGTGACAAGCTAGGTGAGAGGGGTCTAGGAAATCCCTTCCGCTGATGAAGCCAGCTTGGGGTCACCACACGTTACAATCGGACCATACAATCTTTGTACAACCAACTTTAGGTTTTCAAAAACAATGTGATACAAGGGGATTGGCTAAACTATCCAATCAGTGTGTATCCAGTCAGTCAGGCCCTTGTACTACATAGTTGTTGGTAGATCCAAAGGAGATTGTACAATCAGATTGTAACGTGTGTGGTGAGCTTCATAGCAGAAGGAAATGGAGAGGATGTAAGACTTGCTGAGCTGGCCAGCGGGAAGAAGTTCTCTTCTGACATAAGCCTTATGTCCCTGGCAGTGGAAGGGTTAAAGTTAAACTCCGGGTACATAAACTTCATTTAAATATCCACAAAGGAAGCAAATCCACTTTGTGTGCCCCAAATTATTATTATTATTATTACATAGTATTTATAGAGCGCCAACAGTTTGCGCAGAGCTTTACAATATAAGGAAGACATTACAATCACAATACAATTCAAGACAGGATGGTAAGGAGGGCCCTGCCCCTGAGGGCTTACAATCTGAAAGGGAGGGGGAAATGATACATGAGGAGGTAGCTGTGGGAATGAATTATGTGAGAATGTGAAGGTTCAGTGGTTAGGTTGAGGTGGGATAGGCTTCCCTGAAGAGATGAGTCTTTAGGGAAAGCCTAAAGGCAGTCAAGGTGGGAGATAGACGGACAGGTTGGGGTAAGGAGTTCCAGAGGATGGGAGAGACTAGAGAAGTCCTGGAGGCGAGTATGGGAGGAATGGACATGGGTGCTGGAAAGCAGGAGGTCAATTTACAATCTGAAAGGGAGGGGGAAATGATACATGAGGAGGTAGCTGTGGGAATGAATTATGTGAGAATGTGAAGGTTCAGTGGTTAGGTTGAGGTGGGATAGGCTTCCCTGAAGAGATGAGTCTTTAGGGAAAGCCTAAAGGCAGTCAAGGTGGGAGATAGACGGACAGGTTGGGGTAAGGAGTTCCAGAGGATGGGAGAGACTAGAGAAGTCCTGGAGGCGAGTATGGGAGGAATGGACATGGGTGCTGGAAAGCAGGAGGTCAATGGATGGTTAGGGTGATACTTTGAGACAAGGTCTGAGATATATCCGGGGGAGGAGTTGTGGATGGCTTTATAGGTGACTGTTAATATTTTGAATTTTTTACAATAGTCAAGACGAGATATAACAAGTGAGTGGATGAGTAGTTTTGCGGTGTCATTGGTGAGGAAGGGGCGTATTTTTGAGATGTTACGAAGGTGAAGGCGGCAGGATTTGAATAGCGATTGGATGTGGGGAAGAAAGGTGAGGTCCGAGTCAAGGATGACACCTAGGACCTTGGCATGAGGGGAGGGTCGGCTTTGTAAACCCAGAGATCACCTTTTAAAAAGTAGCTGTGACATCATCAGTGTGCTGCCCCGAACTTGTGCAGAGAGCAGAGCTGTGGGAGGGGCCCAACATGTCCTGCCCACTACAGGCTACCTGCAGAAAACAGGAGGGGGTGGAAACAAGACCAGTCACCCGACAGAAGGAGAGAGAGCAGCAGTGAGTGAACTTTATTACAGGAGGGGCGGAGACGAGACCAGTCACCCTGCCCAAGGAGAGAGAGCAGCAGTGAGCGGTCTTTATTACAGGAAGCTCAAAGTCTCACTCTGGATTACTGCACAGATCTGGAAGGAACACACAAAGCTCACCGAGATTCCAGGAAGAACACACATGACTCTCGTATTTCGATATTTGCTGATTTCGGCACAGAGTAGGTATACAGTGTATGGAAACATTTTACATGGTGCTGTAGCACATTACTGATAACAAGCAAAGATGAATAATAAACATTGTACAGCCAGTTTATAACCTTTTACAAATTTCCCATACTGACCTGTACTCATTGTGGATTTTCTAGGCCGTAGCAGATTTAGGATGGGTCAAGCCAACGTTGATCCAGGAGAAGGCCATTCCACTGGCCATGGAAGGAAAGGACCTTCTGGCCCGGGCAAGGACGGGGTCGGGGAAGACCGCAGCCTACTCCATTCCCATAATCCAGAACCTTCTACAGTCCAAGCTGGTAGGTGTGCTTGTGCGTGTGTCACGGTCACATGTCCTCTGATGACACTATTGTCTTGCTTTGCATTGTAAGCGCGGTCACTGCTACACACATATGTATAATGAGTACAGACAGCTACAGGAATGTGATATTAAAGGAGAAGTATTGGGAGAGTAAAATGTTCTCTTCCCAATAGTTTGAGCCGACGGATGACACTGAAGCTGTCACATGTTGGCTCTGCAGATCGAGAACTGAGCGGACACAAAGCACTGATCACTCAGCTCGCGGCTTCTCCCTGCAGAGTGCGGTGACTGTCGGTGACAAGTCCTCCCAGTGATTTATTTTTTAGATTTTATTTTACTTTTTTTTTTATTTAAGCTTTGTAATATTTTTTATTTTTATCATTCATTTTTATTATTTTATCGCCTTTTGTATTTTTCCCATTTTTATGTAGTTACATTTTTAAATGTTCTATATTTTATTTTTTACTTTATTTATTCACTTGACTTTGAATGAGTCTGGCAGCTGCATTCATGATAGACTGAAGGAGGGAGGAGCCTGTGTAGTGGAAGGCCAATGAGGAGGGAGTTACAATAGTCAAGACGAGATATAACAAGTGAGTGGATGAGTAGTTTTGCGGTGTCATTGGTGAGGAAGGGGCGTATTTTTGAGATGTTACGAAGGTGAAGGCGGCAGGATTTGAATAGCGATTGGATGTGGGGAAGAAAGGTGAGGTCCGAGTCAAGGATGACACCTAGGACCTTGGCATGAGGGGAGGGTCGGCTTTGTAAACCCAGAGATCACCTTTTAAAAAGTAGCTGTGACATCATCAGTGTGCTGCACCTAACTTGTGCAGAGAGCAGAGCTGTGGGAGGGGCCCAACATGTCCTGCCCACTACAGGCTACCTGCAGAAAACAGGAGGGGGTGGAAACAAGACCAGTCACCCGACAGAAGGAGAGAGAGCAGCAGTGAGTGAACTTTATTACAGGAGGGGCGGAGACGAGACCAGTCACCCTGCCCAAGGAGAGAGAGCAGCAGTGAGCGGTCTTTATTACAGGAAGCTCAAAGTCTCACTCTGGATTACTGCACAGATCTGGAAGGAACACACAAAGCTCACCGAGATTCCAGGAAGAACACACATGACTCTCGTATTTCGATATTTGCTGATTTCGGCACAGAGTAGGTATACAGTGTATGGAAACATTTTACATGGTGCTGTAGCACATTACTGATAACAAGCAAAGATGAATAATAAACATTGTACAGCCAGTTTATAACCTTTTACAAATTTCCCATACTGACCTGTACTCATTGTGGATTTTCTAGGCCGTAGCAGATTTAGGATGGGTCAAGCCAACGTTGATCCAGGAGAAGGCCATTCCACTGGCCATGGAAGGAAAGGACCTTCTGGCCCGGGCAAGGACGGGGTCGGGGAAGACCGCAGCCTACTCCATTCCCATAATCCAGAACCTTCTACAGTCCAAGCTGGTAGGTGTGCTTGTGCGTGTGTCACGGTCACATGTCCTCTGATGACACTATTGTCTTGCTTTGCATTGTAAGCGCGGTCACTGCTACACACATATGTATAATGAGTACAGACAGCTACAGGAATGTGATATTAAAGGAGAAGTATTGGGAGAGTAAAATGTTCTCTTCCCAATAGTTTGAGCCGACGGATGACACTGAAGCTGTCACATGTTGGCTCTGCAGATCGAGAACTGAGCGGACACAAAGCACTGATCACTCAGCTCGCGGCTTCTCCCTGCAGAGTGCGGTGACTGTCGGTGACAAGTCCTCCCAGTGATTTATTTTTTAGATTTTATTTTACTTTTTTTTTTATTTAAGCTTTGTAATATTTTTTATTTTTATCATTCATTTTTATTATTTTATCGCCTTTTGTATTTTTCCCATTTTTATGTAGTTACATTTTTAAATGTTCTATATTTTATTTTTTACTTTATTTATTCACTTGACTTTATTGCTATCACACAAGGGTTAACAAACCCTTGTGTGATAGCTTTTGGAGGTGACAGGTTCTCTTTATTGACCCTTTCACCTCCAACACAGGAGTTCTAGCACAGCACTGTGCTCATTCTCCTGTGACAGGAAGGCTGCATTCCTGTGTCACTATTCACACTTAGCAAAGCCGAGAAGCTTTCTCTGCCTTGCTCCGTGTTCTCTAACCTAATTTGCCGTGGTCACGGATCCCCCACAAGAGGGGGGGGGGGGCCCCGAAGACCATGGCAAAAAGGAAGCCCAGGTGCAGAGAGAGAGGCAGCCGAGAGCGGTACACGGCCGGCGATAGATAGAGAGAGCAGAGGGGAGTGAGATTCAGACTCGTTACAAGTGGTTTTGGACGGCTGTACAGCCGCTTAAAATCACTTGTACGAAACGGCTCCAACACAACATTTAGCCATGCTGCTTGCCCGCAGCCGGGCTAAATGTAGAAAGAAACTACTCGCCCTGCGCCCGATACTGCCTGTCCCGAGCGTCGGGCGATAGGAATCCCCCCCCCTGAAATGCATTCATTTATTTGGGAAAACCTCACAAGCCTAGCATTGTGTCACACTTGGTGACAGTGACATACTTTAAACATCACTGTCATGAGGGGGTTAAAAAACCCTTAGGGTGAAAAAAAATCTGCAGCTCGCCTGCAGATTTTCATTGTAAGGGGTTAATTTTTATGATACATTTTTTTAAATGATAGTATATAAAAATATTTTTAAATATATTTTTATTTGTTACATTTTTTTTTTTTTACACTTTTATTTTTTTACCCTTTTCACAATTTTTAAAAAACCTTTTACATTTTTATTTTTTAATTTAATTATATCAAGCAGTCGTTGTGAATTAATCTCACTATTACTGCTTGATAAATTAATCAATTAATTTTTGGTTATTATTAGGCTGCTTCATTAGGGCCTGTTCACACGACGTCCGTTTTGTGTGCTGACCGGCTCCGTACGCTGCTGCACTCAAAATGCATCCCAATGTATCCCTATGTGTTTTATGGGCTCCAGTTCTCACGTGCGCAGTCCGTTCAGCTTACGACAGAAAAAATACTGCATGTCACATTTTGTCAGGTCCG